AACTTCAAATTAACTCGCTCATCGTGAACCCTCGATTAGATATCAAGGAAGTTCCAGACTAGAAAGACTTGATATTGTTTGTAAAACTTTTGTATATAAATCACTGTGTGTAATAACTATTTGTAATAACCATTATTGTAAATTGTATTATTGTTTGCATATTAAAATATATTTGTATTAAAAAAGAAAACTGTGTGTATCAATCTTGTTGATAAATATCATAAATTGTATACATGTTGGCATTTATTTAACTACTAAATCCAAATACAATTTAACTCAGTTTTAGACTATTTGAAATGGTAATACGTAACAGAGGGAATCTTCAATAGCCGCGACATTTGAAATTCGTTTAGTCGGGATTAATTTAATCTACGAGACCTTTTTTTTTCCTTTTTATTAGCTGTATTTTTGTGCGCCAGCAACATCAAGCGTGGGGCGCGTGTATACCAAATTTGATTTTATTACTCATCAGGATCTTTACAAGCCTACTCTCAAATTGAAATTCTTTTAGGCAGGATTATAATAAATTAATCTATGGGGCCTTGGGCATGGTCAATGCATCAATCGAAAGGGTTTGACCTCCTGAGTCCAAAACTGTAATTAGATTTCAAATCGGTCAAGAGATGACCGAACCATGAGCTAAAAGTTTGTACTCGAAAAAAAAACTTCTATAAGCCGCTATGCCGCGGCTAAAAATTTTATGTAACCGTGTACGTGATCTTTCAACAGTTAACCACATAGTGGTATTTTATTTAGTAGACCACAAACAATGGTATGTATGAACGATGCGCTGATAATGAGTGTTAAGTTTGCCGAAATGCGAGAATATTATTAGTATTCAAAGAGATTATGTTAATCTTTCATAAAAATATGACACGAACAAAAGAAGATGTTTGAACGAGACGGAGCATCAACAAAACATCATCCATAACCTGAACAGATGACACTGGGCTATCTTTACGAAACATCCATGTGTGTCATGCAGAAAAACGTTCCTAATGTAAATCGCTCTTGCAAAACTGATGTCACGTATTTCTTTCTTTTATGTAATAGAGAAAAGTTTCAAGGATTTGTAAAATAAAAGCCAATAAATCCTAGTTTACAATCTTCTTCCTCGTTACACGTTTAAACCCAAAACCTTTAAGGAAATTGATTACCTGGAGACAAACAAAACTTGATCTGTGATTTAAAATGTTGTAAAGTATTGTAAAATGTGTTAGACAATGTTCAATCGTTTGGTGAGGAAAAATGTGTCTAAAATGGCTCATCCAGCAAAAAAAAAATAATAAAAAAAACCCAGTTACCAAAGCTGTCAGAAAATAACCTATTACGATAAGTTGACGAATGAAGAAAATTATTCCATAACTAATATTACTTTCGAGTAGTGTCCAAAAAAGAAAGTGCTTTCATTCGGTGATGATTGTGCCCAACAAACGAAGAAAATACATCAAGATACTCTTCCTCATCTCCACCCACCTCATTTTTGGGGGAATCCAAACCCATTCATGTATTTTTATAAGAAATGTAAGTCTAGCCTGTAGTCAAACGAACTAACTTTCAAACCTGTCAAATCATATATAGCCCATTCACAAAAGGAGTTTTGCACTTTTAGACAATTTGGATGAGAAGGATACAATATTTACAAATGCTTAAACGTCTGCATGTGTTTGAAAACCCGCCAGATTATTGTCCAGATAATTTAAAACAGTAACGTCAAAATTACCTTCAACGTCTGCAAGTATCTAAGCTCTGGGAATAATGTTCATAGCAATTAAATCCAATTTAGCGAAGTGGTGTTACTATCCAGCCTCGACTAAGAATGAAGTATTGGATCAATATCCAGAGAACTCAAGTATTTCAACACCAAAATATCACGTTTCCACCAGGTAACACCACAAATACCAGCAATAGCGCCAGTAACAGTATCATATCTGACAACAATAGGATCGATAACCAGAATACAATGTCAAGATTCTATATTGTATTAACATCAGTATCCAGTTGTGACTAAACTCAAAGCAATACAGTAGAGATCCAGATTATTGATATTATAAGATGAGGGTGGTTATTAAGATTGTATGATGGAATAACACCAGTATCAATATCCAGACAGATCTAATCTGACAACATAAGAATCGGTATCCTATAGATATAGAAGAAACGTCTTTGACACTACAATATCCAGAATCAGTTAATATCATTACAATAAGATTAGTATACAGAATGTGTGGAAATATTAACCCTAGAAGTACCGATGGGGTTGGGAGCCCATCGACTCTTTAAACAAATTTTTCTGATGCACCAACTTACCATGTGGGCCCACGATACTGTTGGTTGCACCGTACTACTTGTCGTTACGTCAGTATTGGTTACAGGATCCATAAAAACGTAAGAGTCACGCAGAAAAATGCAAGCTAAAATATCACAAATATTGCAACTAATTGCTGCTGAGGTCCTTTATGTATTTTTTTTTTGTCAGTTCTTCAGACTGAAAGTTTATCAAAGGCAAAAATTCTTAAGATAACCATTATAAACAATATGTAGTGTCCATCGGCAGTGAACTGTATGAAAGATGATTTACAGTATGTTGTGCACCCGGTATGTTTTTTATTGTCCCAATACTACTTCAATATGCAGAGCTTATTTTAGGACCATAGATACAGTATAGTATCGCCCGGCATGGCCAGGTGGTTAGGGTACTCGACTCGCAATCTGCAGGTCGCGGGTTCGAATCCCCGTCCCACCAAACATGCTCGCCCTTTCAGCCGTGGGGGCGTTATAATGTGACGGTC